TAACGTTCTTAAAGGTAATTAAATTGACTTTACATATGTTGCCTGCCATTTGAAATAAATAAATAAACTTCCCTTAGCAACATAATAGTGTAATCGGAAGGCGGTTGGTCTTCTTCATCACTAGATGTACGCCGATGAAGATTTGATCTTTTGTCCTATATTACTATGTCAGGAAACATATGTAAAGTCAATTTAATTACCTTTAAGAACGTTAAAATTTAACCTGGGCATTTTATACTTTACAGTACGATTTTACACGTCGCTAATTTTAAGAAAAATTAATTATTCATAATAAAAAATTGTTATCAAGCATGATAGATATTGGTTTTTTTTGCCTGCTTATATCATGTTATGCGAATCAGGTGATTTATTCATATGTTATATAAGCAATTATAAAAGGCTTATGTTTAGATTTATTAGAGACTACCTGACTGTTGAGCATCAAATTTTTCGAAAATCATTTTTACGAAACCGACATAATTAATTTGGCAAATATTCGAAAAATGCGAATTCCACCACTCAGATCGTTGAATGACTTTTTGTTTTCAGTCTATAGTATGCCAAGTACTATGGAATCTGCCAGCGACCGCTTTACATCAAATATGCTTTACTATCAAACTAATTATTTTTTAATAACAGCAATACTATTAGGGATCAACCTGTAAGCTTGATAATTTAACCTATATCTCTTTTAGTGTCTTGTCCCCAATGAGTGTATTAGTCGGTCTCTGTACCCTTACTTTCGCAGTGATGTTATGTAATAATCTAGATAGTTGGTGGCCTTTTACGTCTCGCCCACCAACGCCCATCATTTATGGCCTCATTTGTACAGTGATTCTTCTTTATTTACTTCCAATGATGACTCCAGCCATACTTACTCTTGCCTCAATTACAATTGGTAGGTTACCTTGTTTTAAATGACTAATTATTTAGTTATTATGATGCACGCTCTACTTCGTCAGAGGAATACAATGAACAAATTAACCCGCATTTTTGATTCCAATGCTCCGGGCCAATTTAAATCTCCAATGGGTTTTCTTCTAGGAAAGTTGGGGGAGTAAACACACTCCAATCATCATTGGTCTTTCTTTATCGCCTTAAACCCCCACTTTGTGATACATTCACCGGAAATTATCATCTGGATGCTTGTTTATAGAATTCATTTCACAGTTGTGTTGTTTTTTATTTTCTCTTCAAGTTCTGTCTTTGTCTAAGTCAGAAGTTTTATTACATTGACTTATTCTACAGTCAAACAAACCTTGATTCTTTTGGCTTAAACTAACATCACCTGGATGTGGTTCTGTTTTAACTCCCATTTCGCCTAGATTTTATTAGGATATTTTCTTAGTGCCATAATGACCTCTCCTATTGTTTTTTGTTATTTGGCGTGGCAGACAGCATCCTTTCGGGCTTTAACCCATTGCTTCAAACACAGTGATGTTTAAATCTTATATTCCATGCTATGTCAGGCTTGGATTAGCATGTTTTACTAAGAAAGTGTAGCCTGTATACATATCTGACTATGTGAACACTTGTCCACCGGGTTACTCATTGTTATTGTGGGTGATGAGAACGTAGGTGTAGTAATGGAAAATCTAGTAACGCTAGGGTGGTTTTGTTCTGAATTCTCGCCATTTACGTTCGATGCGGTGGGAATGCATCATTCTTCATAATTAGCAAACAGATCACTGTGTTTATTTTTTGTCAGGACTCCTAAGTGAATAATTTCGTGCGCTCGAATCAATGTGAACATGTAAGCTCATAAATTGTCGCTTAACTGCCTTGTTACAAAATCTATAATTCTGTAACCAAATATACTTTTTAAGGAAGAAAGCTGCTGTTCAAACAATGCACTTTTTGTTTAATTTTGCTTGTTTCAGTTGCTATAAAGCATGATCTCATCGTGGCATTATCTCACACTTTTTTATTCATTAGAATTGCGTTGTTTTGTTGAATATATTTCACAATGAGCCCGTTACTTATTATTAAATGTGTATTCTAACGACTCATTTCGAAGGCGAATTTTTAGTTTTGAGTTGAACAGATAGTTTAATATCTGAAGGGTTTAACTACCCATTTCTTAATGTCAACTTACATCACATGTTCGTATCTTGGGTTGGAGTAATAGAGATGAAATACTTGTACTTTGGTCACTCACTTCAGGTGAGCCGTTTGCGCCGCCCGTTTTTTCCGTTTATTGGTAATTTTCTCACGTTTTTAGTCAGTCGTTGGAATATTTAATGCAAAATCATGGTTTACTATTATACCTGTTGTTGATTGTTTTGTGCATTTACATAGATACTTTTTTTCAGCACCTCAATGTTGGGTCCTCTTGTAAACTCCCCATAATCTTTATGACAATTTAAAAATTGTAGCGGATTGCAACACTAATATGCCTTGACTTATGCTCAGTAATCTCTATAACGAGACCACCCAATGTGCAATGGTCATCTAAGTTATCGCTTATTCATTAAAATAAAATGAAGGGTTTGTTAAACCAATCAGGGACTAAGGATTGGCGACTGACTGAGAGGGCCCTGTGCTCGCGATTACATTGCACCCTACGTGACAAGTATTGGGTTGGCAACTAAGTCATTGCCGTTTTTGTTAACGGTTTCACTCTATACTTTCTTTTGTTTTGTTAACGTGGCCATAGCATCTAACTTATATTTTTTTCTTACTGTATGGGCTTCTAGGTTAATTAGTAAAAAAATTTTTTGTTTAGTTTTGTTTTTATCCCAATTTAAAAATGAAAGAACAGGACGTGCACTTCCGACACATTTTATTGTATTACTTCCGAAAAGGCAAGAACGCATCGCAAGCACAAAAGAAGTTATGTGCCGTATATGGAGATGAAGCCTTAAAAGAAAGGCAGTGTCGAAAT